ACCAAGACAAGATCCAAATGCACACATTTCCTAACAAACAGGAGTAAGAAAGAAATTACTTTTCAGATCTACGGATAAGGGACATATTCGTGACCAAAGAATTAATGGAGAGGATCATACAAAATAAAATGGACAATTTTGACTATGCAACATTGAAAAGTTTTTGCACAAACAAATCTAATATAGTTAGAATTAGAAGGGAAACTGGAAGCTATTAAGCAAATCTTTCTTTGATAAACGTCTTAAATATCTAAGATATATAAGGAACTAATTCACATTTATAAGACTAAGAATCATTCCCCAATACATAAATGGTCAAAGAATAGGAAGGGCTTGAAAGGAAACTATAAGTAACCATGTGGAAAAATATTCTAAAACACTAATAATGAGAAGAAAAGCAAATGAAAGAAACTCACAGTTTATGTATCATATTGACGAAGATAACAAAAGAGGAAAATAAAATAAGTGTTGTATAAGGGCTGTGGGAAAATAGGCACATTGATTTACTCTTGATGTAGCTGTGAATCAGTTCAGCCATTCTGGAAAACAATTTGGAACTACACCCCCAAAAGTTACTGAATTGTGCATACCATTTGACCCAGCTATATCACAACTAGGCCTGGGTAGAAGCACTTTATTACATTGTTTGGAAGACTTATTATAGTTTAAATCTAACTTTATGTGAATAGAGATTGTTTGAACCCAGAGTGTCTCCCTGACCTCAGTAACTCTCCAGGAATGCGCCAGACATGGCTGCAAGGAATTTTGGGTTTCCCCAGGTTCTGGATCATCCAAAAACATGTATATTTTGGGTCCACTCAAGCTTGTGCTTTGGGTTCTCCTTGTGTTTTGTCTTTGACCAAATTTCATTGAATGTTTATATTTACTGATATTCATCTCAATCTACCTTGCTTTTGAGTTGCCCTCTTGGCAAAATTATTTAACTGCATCGGTGTGATTCCTATGTGGGGACCCTTGTTTAAATCCTACATAACATAAACCTTCCAGAGACCGGCTTACTCCCTTTTGGATGCTGGACTTTGATGTTATTAGTCTATAGGCTGTTGTTCACAAGAACAAACATGAAAAGAGCCTATACGCACAAAATATGGCACCCATTTTTTGTTTTGTTTTGTTTTTGGCTAGGCAATGGGTTTAAATGACTTGCCCAGGGTCACACAGCTAGTAAGTGTCAAGTGTCTGAGGCCAGATTTGAACTCAGGTCCTCCTGACTGCTAGTACTCTATCCACTGCACCACCTAGCTGCCCCACAGTACCTGTTTATTTTATAGTGGTCAAAAATCGAAAACTCCAGGGGAGGTGTCCTCCCGTGAGAGAATGGTGAGCAAAATTATGGTATATGAAAGAAATGCAATGTTATTTTGTTATAAGACATTATGAAATGAAAAGTTTTGGGAAGACCTCCATGAATTGACATAGAATGAAATGAACATGATTAGGAAAACAATTTGTATGATAACATTATAGAGGAAAATAATTTTGAAAGACTTTAGAATTCTAATCAATGCAATGATATACCACAAGTCCCAAAGACTCAAGATATAATATGCCACTTACCTCTTGCCAGAGAGGTGATGAACTTCAAATTCAGAGAGACACATACATTTTCGGGCATGGCTAATGATGAGAATTTGTTTTTACTGGCTTATCATGTTTGTAATGAGTCTTTTTGTACCTTTTAAATTATGTGCTTAATTTGGGGGGAGCATTTGGGGAGGCTGATTATGAAATGCATTTTAAAAAAAGGAAGGGGAAAGATAAAATTATACTTTGGTTATATATTCTGTTTCTTAATTACAGCATGAGTTCCTTAAAGGTGGGGGCCATTTTGATTTTCTACGTGTATATCCAAAGCTTACCATGGTGTTTGGCACATAGTTCCTACTTAATAAATGAATCAATTGATTAGGAAAGATGGGTGAGAACATGAATGAATATAGCATTCTTTTGGGATTTCTCCTGCAAATATTTTATTGTATTTTCTATTATGGTGGGTACAGTATTTGGAAGCATTTTTTTTTTTTAATTTTTATTAAAGGGACTATGTCTTATCTCAGCTTCATATTCCAAGTGCTGAGCATTATGCCTTATAAAAAATTGGGATAATTAGAATTTTTTGAAAGAATTCCTATGGATATACACATATTTTGTTGTTGTTCAGTTGTTTTCAGTCATGCCTGACTCTTTGTGACTCAATTTGGGGTTTTCTTGGCATAGATGCTGGAGTGGTTTGCCATTTCCTTCTCCAGCTCATTTTACAGATGAGGAAACAGAGGCAAATAGGGTTAAGAGACTTAATCCCCAGGGTCAAATAGCTAGTTTCTGAGTTCAGATTTGAACTCGGGTCCTCCTGACTCCAGGCCTGACACTCTGTCCATTGAGTCACCTAGCTGCCCACACACATATCACATGGGCAATTTATTTCCTTTATGAGTATGTGTCAAGTCAGGTATGACAAATTGGTGAAGGCTTGTCCACATTCATTACATAAAGGGCTTTCCAGATGATTTCTCTTATGGCTAGTGAGGTTTCCCTATTATTTTCAACATCCATCACATTAAAAAATTTCTCTCCAGAGTGAATTCTCTGGTTAATATGGTATTTCCTAGGGCTAAAGGTATTCAGACATTTATTAAATCTAAAATTTTTTACTCCAATATGTAGGTATATTTTCTCTCTCACAGTTCAAGCACATAGTAGATTTTTATTAAGCATAACTTTGGTTCTAAGTATTCTACCCTCATTTCCACAAAACTTTTAGTTAAAAACACAAAAAAAATGGTATTCTATTAATGGTTAATGGAGATATCTTTGTGGTTGAAGGTTTGTCCACCTTCATTATAATGAAAAGTTTTCTAGTTAGTATGAATTTTTATAGGTTCATTGGTTTCTTCTGGGCATATTTCCATAGTCACTATTTCATCCTCTTCAATGAATAATTTTCTGATGTTTATTTAATAAGGCACACACTCTATAAAGACTTTTCAGCATTCACAGAATCACAGGATTTCAGTTGTAAAATAATTTCTTCTATAACATACCCAACAAATGGCCAAACAGCCTTGACTGGAATGCCTTTTGATTTGGGGGTGGGGTCCGTACTACTACCACTTAAAATATCTTTGATATGTGAATAGCATTGTTGGGAAATCTTTGTTACATTAAATCTAAAGTTTCCCCCTTTCATCTTCACTCCCAGCTCCTAGTTCTACAACTGGGATGAAGTAGAACAAGGCTTATCTCTTCCATACAACAGTCCATAATATTTGTGAAAAGAGCCATCATATGCCCCCAGATTTTTTTAGTGTGGGGCAGGCTAAACATTGAACATCTAAGACATGATCTTCAAATCTCATAATTGGAAGCCATCTTCAATACTGGGTTGTCTTCCTCTGGAAGAAATTTACATGACAAATGTCCTTCTTAAAATGCGCTACTCAGCACCAAACACAATATTCTAGATGTACCCTGACCAGGACAAACTAAAGCGGTTCTAGCATCATCTCCTTATTCCTGGAAACTGTGTCCAAGATTGAAGGGTTTTGTTTTATACCCAAATGACTTACTTGTCCCTACTAAATTCAATTCGTTTGCCACTTCTGGTCTAAAATATTTGGGGTTAATTTCAAAGTTAATATGTAGCCCGCAGGGATCTACATGTACAGTTTAGTGGCTCCTATTTCTATTAGAATCAAGCCCTAGGATGATCCCAGTCTAAAATAGAGTCAAACTCAATCATTCAATCTGTTGTTCCTCTCAAATTGGTGACATCTGAAAAACTGATTAGCATGAAATTCATGTCTTTATTCCAAGCGACTGATAAAAATGTTAAGACAGCACTGATCATTGGAGCACTCAACTGCATACTTCCCAATGTGACATAAAATCAGTTGTTTGTCCTTTGTTCTTGAAAAGGACCAATGACATCAGGAAGGCGATGTCTTGACTTGCAAGTGAATTGGATTTAAGTGAGGCAGGACTGTGTAAAGTCACCAGCCTCACTTTCTGCTCTGGAGCCATCTGGGTCCAGTGACAAGATATAGATCAAGATGACTGAAGATGGCCCAGGATACTGTGGGAGATCCTGGCCTTTTTAAGCTAAGGTCCTTCTCAGGTCTCAGTTTGTCTGAGGCAACACCCAATCAATGATTGAGGCTAGGTCCATCAAATCAATAATGATTACTCTGGGGCTGACCATTTGACTGGTTTAGGATCCATCTAATTGTGCTAATATGTTTAATGCATCTCTCATGTTTTCCACAAGATCAGGAGACTACACAATATTTAGCTAAAACCTAGGTAAATCCTGTGTACAATATTCCTTTTGATCTGCCAGTTAAGTAATCCTGTCAAGAATGGAGATAGAATGATTCTAGCATTACTTGTTCTTTTATTTTTTATTTATTTATTAATTTTTAGGCAATTGGGGTTAAGTGACTTGCCCAGGGTCACACAGCTAGTAAGTGTCAAGTGTATGGTCTGAGACCGTGATTTGAACTCAGGGCCTCCTGACTTCAGGGCCAGTGCTCTATCCACTGTGCCACCTAGCTGCCCCTATTACTTGTTCTTTTAAAAGTACATTGTTACACATCTGTAATCTCATGTCTCTGAGAAAAAAAAAAAGGCAGGTGCCTATTCTCATTACCAGTTGTAAAGCTGAGTGATTCTGTTCCTACCCCTTCCATTGGGATTCATGGCATGAAGAGCAAAACAGCCAGAAAGACATGGTTTTCCTTGCTTAGGTTGCCGAGGGCGGCTGGCAAAGCATGACCAAGTCTCACTTCCTCATGTGACCCCTTCCCCTTTTCTCCTAAAAGTATAAGAACCTTCTCCTGTGAGTGTGCTGGGGTGACATCCCCCAGGGTGGCAGGTTTGCTACCCTATCTCAATTAAAGATGCTTTATTCCTCCACTCATGAGCTTAATTTATTCAGTACTTTACAATATTCAGTGTTTCTGACAACAAAGTAATATTCCATATTTAGGTACCAAAATTTATTTAGCTATCCCCCAATCAACAGGCATCAATTATGGCAGAATATGTTCTTGGTGAAAGAACTGGCTACATTCAGAATGTTTCATCTCCTTATGAGTTTCCTAATGTTTAATAAGGCATCCCCTCCCCAGTCTGAATTTTCTGATGACAAATGAGGTTTGTCCTCTCACCAAAAGCTTTCCCTCTGTCATTGCATTCTAAAAGTTTCACTTCAGTATGTGTTCTCTGATGTCTAATAAGGTGTCCCTTCTGGCTGAAGCCTTTGCCACATTTACTACACTCAAAGGGTTTCTCTCCAGTATGAATTCTTTGATGATAAATGAGGTGTCCCCTCTGACTGAAGGCTTTCCTACATTCATTACATTCAAAGGGTTTCACTCCAGTATGAGTTCTTTGATGAGTAATAAGGTCTCTCCTTTCACTGAAGGCTTTCCCACATTCATTACATGCAAAAGGTTTCACTCCACTGTGACTTCTCTGATGGGTAATAAGATGTCCTCTTCTACTGAAGCCTTTCCCACATTCATTACATGCAAAAGGTTTCTCTCCAGTATGAATTCTTTGATGGGTAATTAGGCTTGCCCTTTCACTGAATGCTTTCTCACACTGATTACATACAAAGGGTCTCTCTCCAGTATGAGTTCTCAGATGGGTAATAAGGATAGCCCTCCGGCTGAAGCCTTTCCCACATTCCCTACATTCAAAGGGTTTCTCTCCAGTATGAATTCTCTGATGGTAAATGAGGTGTCCTCTCTGGCTAAAGGCTTTCTGACAATCATTACATTCAAAGGGTTTGACTCCCGTATGAGTTCTTTGATGTCTAATAAGGTTTGCCCTCCGGCTGAAGGCCTTCCCACATTCAGTACATTCAAAGGGTTTCTCTCCAGTATGAGTTCTCTGATGATAAATGAGTTGTCCCCTCTGACTGAAGGCTTTTCTACATTCATTACACTGAAAGGGCTTCACTCCAACATAAGTCCTCTTATGTTTAGTCAAGCTTCCCCTATGGCTCAAGGTTTTCCCATATTTATTACATTGGTCATGTTTCTTGCCAGTATGAAATGTCTGTTCTCCAACAAGATCTGATCTTCTGGGAAAGGCTTCACCACATTCGTAGTGTTCTTGCAGCTTTTCTCCAGTATGTGTTCTACGAAATTTAATTAGGTCTGAATGGTAGTTGAAGGGCTTCTTCCATTTTTTATACTTAGAAAGGTTCTTCCCTAAAGGGAGTATATTACATGGAATTAGGTCTGAAAAATCTCTGAAGCTCTTTTCAAGTGTCATGTATTTATGGATACATCCCCCTACAGTTTCTTTCCATAGTGCATCGAAGTCTGATCCCAAATGAAAAGGCCTCCCAAGTGCATTACACTGTGGCACACTCCCTTTCTTAAAAGTTGTTCTGTGAGTGCTTGTTGCTTGTCTGGATGGTCTCTCCCAGCTCTTCTTTCCTTCCTCTGAATTGACGTCATATCCTTCAGCTTCTCTCTTCTTGGATAGCCAGGGACTATTCTTTGGCAGTCTTTTCTCAGATGATATTCCTATGTAAGTGTCTTGTATCAGACTTGGGTCGAGGGTTTCAAACCAGATATCACTAAGGAAATCTGAAAGAAAATTTTTAAAATGTCACTAGCAGCTGTTGATTACGATGTGAAAAAAGGTCCTAATTTAGAACTAATTCTAGCTTCAGTCCCATCCATCAACAAGAACAATGTTCAATCTAGATCAGCTAGAACAAACTAGTTTTTTTGGGTGGGGATTGAAGATAAAGGCAGGTAAGGGAATAGCAAAAGGGTACCTACCTTCTCAGGACTAAATGAATTACTTTTCAGGGCCTTGAAAGCATTTATATATGTCATGAAAAAGAACATCCAATGACAAATTGCAGGATGGTCCTATACATGCAAAAATATTTACATCTCCTCATTTTGAGGAGGCAAAGAACTGTAAGCTAAGAGGATGCCAATCAGTTAGGGAATACTTGAACAAATTATGGCCTGTGAATGTAATTGGATATTATGTATTGTAAGAAAAGGTAAAGGGTATGGTTTAGAAAAACATGGGGAAACATGTAGAGTGAAGATGGCAGAACCAAGACAAAAATTTACACAATAACAACACTCAAAAAATGAACAATTTTGGAAGACTTAAGAATTATGACCAATACAATGATCATCCATGATATCAAAAGACCAACGAAGGATATTACCCACCTTCCGATAGAGAGGTGATGGATGTTTATGGACGTGGTCAATATGAGAATTTGTTTTGCAAGACTATATACGTTTGTAACAAAGGTTGTGTTTTCTTTTTTTCCCCCAGTAAGGAGGGATAGAGGAGCAAGAGAAAAATAAATGCTTGTTTATTTAAAAAAAGTGTCTGAACAGCTATGAAATTTGCCAACTTTGGAAACTGACATACCAAGAGGTGTAAATACATGGGGATTTTTGAGCATCAGCATTTTAAAAATATCATCGAAAAGAAATTAAAAGGATGGCGTATTGGGACAAGGGAAGAAGGTTCAATCTCAAAACAAAATCTCCTCAGGTTCTTCAGAGGATGTCCTCATTTTTATCTACCAGGTTTATTTTACTAGTTTACGCAAAAAGGTGTTTGTTGAACCATAATTAATTAGTACTTTGCATACAACTTTAAATCTGCTTAAACTTCAGTTACTAAAAACGAGGCTCAACAGTGACTAGGCTGTACAAGTATATGTTGTGCACTGTCATTTTTTCCCATAAAGGATACATCAAAGTTTTTCTTCTGAAATGTTTTTTCGTAGTAACTTAGCTCTTCCACTAATTAGTGAAATTAGTCTAGAAATTGTGATGATGTAAACTGTATTTTTTTAATTTAAAATTTTTATTTTCAGTTACAAATATCCTTTCCCCCTCCACCTCCTCCTCACTTACCGAGAAGGCAAAAAACATAATATCCATTATATTTATAAAGTCATACAAAACATATTTCCACAATAGCTATGTTGCAAAAAAAAAAAATCAAGGAAGATAAAGAAAGTGAAAAAAATATGCTTCAGTCTGCATGCAGATCAACTGTATTTTTAAAAACCTTTTTGGTTAAGAAAAACAAAACAAACAAAAAAAACCCAACCCTTTTTGGTTAATGTCATCTGTTCTTTCCTAATCCATTGTCTTTCTATAAAGCCAAGGTTTAAACTTTGGGTGTTCCGACTACAATAGAATTAGTGTAACATCTTGCCTTTGTAGTCCTAATACCTATTGCTTTGGAATATTGGCAAAAAAAGAACTTTTTAAGCATTTCCTAGTTCTCTAGACTGGTTTGTTGTGCTGCCGTTAGTGGGACAAGTACGTATTAAGCTGTGAAAATTTTATTTCAGTTTTTGAAATAGAAGAGCTTGCACAGAAATGTCTGGCTTTGACATTTTTTTCTCAATTAGTGAACATTAAAGAATTACTGGGCTTCAAAGATCCCAGCTATTGGAGTAAGAACTCACTACTCAACAGAAACTTTTGAGAAAACTGGAAAGGAGTCTGGCAGAAACTAGTTAGAGAACAACATCTCACACCACGTAACAAGTCAAGTTCCCAACAGGTGGGTGATCTGGGCATAAAGGGTGTTATCATGAACAAATTGAAGGAGCATGAAAGAAATCGGTCACGAACTCTTTTGCTACCCATAGATCTGACAAATGAGAGAGAGGCTGACAGGAGGTAAAGTGGACAACTCTGAATAGGTAAAATTAAATTTTTTTTGCACAAAGACAAAGCAAAAAGAAGAAGAGAAACAGATAAATGAGGGAAAAAATATTTGCAATAAGTTTCTCTGATAATGGTCTCATTTCTAAGAGGTAAGGAGAACTGATTACTCTTGTAAATGTCAAAGGCTATGAACAGGCAGTTTTCAGATGAAGAAATACAAGCAATCAGAAGCCAGGTTAAAAAAATGCTTTAAATTACTAAAATTAGTTAAATTCAAATTAAAACAAGTATGACCTCTCACTACTTACCTATCATAGCAGCAAAGATGACAAAAAAAGGAAAATGACAAATCTGGAGGGGCTGTAGGAAAACAGGTAATTAATACACTGCTAGTGGAATTATGAACTGATCCAATCATTCTGGAGAACAATTTGGAACTATGCCCAAAGGGCTATAAAACTACTCAAACCCTTTGATTCAGGAATAGTACAGCTAGGACTGTATCCGGAAGAGATCAAAGAAAGAAGAAAAGGACTCATATGTACAGCGATATTTACAGCAGTTCTTTTTGTGGTGGCAAAGAATATGATGAAGGGGATCATTTCAGAAACCCGGGAAGGCTTGCGTGAAGTGATGCAGAGGCAAGTGAGTAGAACAAGAACAGTTTACACTGTAACAAAAAGTAAAGACAAAGACTCTGCTCAATGCCCTGGCCAACCTCAATTCCGAGGAATTTATAATGAAACATGCTAGAGACGGGAGACTCCGTGTGTATCGCAATCCTCTCTGTCTCTCCCGCACACATTGCTTTGTCAGAGTTACTCTACACTTAAAGTATGAAAAGGGAAATGGACATTTTGATGCATGATCTTTACTTTACAGGTGTCTGAATATTTGTTTTTGTTGATGATTACTAAATTTCAAATATATGTTTAAATTCCAACCACAAAGAGGGAGCACACCTTATTCCCTGAGAAGGGGATGCTCTTGAGCCCAAGATGAAGCTCATGTGAAAGAGGGAGGCTAGGTCGTCCCCCCCAGGCCTTGGGGCTTGTCCAACGGCGTCAAGGTGCAGCCCTCCCCACGTGGTCAATCATGGTGTTGGGTGCCATGATGCACTCACCTGGACAAGAGCCTTGTGGGCTTTCTTCTCCTTCTGGTTTCCATGATGCATTTCCTCTCTCCAACAGGGAAAGCACATCCAGTTTAGAAACGGGAAGCCCTGTAAGTAGGAAGAGAAATGGGAAGGTGCTGGGGGACAGAAAGCTATTTAAGAATTCAACTCTATTCACTGCCAAGACAGCAGCTAGAAAGTACAAAGGACCTCCGAAGAACGTGCTGATTTGTATTCCAAGGGAGGCTAGGTTAACGAGCTTATTTAGATTCAGAGAGAAAAGTGGTTCATTCAACCCACTCTGCGCTAAGAAAGTAAGGCCCTTTCTTGGTATATCACTTGGGATATCCATCAGACAATCAACAGGCATTTATAAAGCACTACTTATATCTAGGCATTATGACTAACCAGTGTCCCCAAGGAGCTTCCATTCTATCAAAGGAAACATGTACACATAGATGTCAATACAAACTCTGGAGAAAATAAAGACCGTTCTAGGAAGGAGTCGGCAACAGCTGCAGAGACCCAGGGAGGCCTCATTCGGGGGGTGACATGAGCTGAGTTATACGAAGGGATGCAGAAAGGACGTACGATGTCCTAAGTGCAGTAAGGCAACGAGGCCAGTAAGGCGGACAACCGAGGGGCACCCCAGAGTGCTGGGCCTATAGTCAGGAAGACTTGAGTTCAAATCCTGCATGACCCTGGGTAAGTCACTTAACCTTTCTCATCCCAACTTTACAGATGAGGAAACTGAGGCTAAGAAGAGCACCTACCTCCCCGGGTTTTTGTGAGAATCAAGTGTGATAACATGTAAAGAAAGCCTGTTGTGAACCTCAGAGCTACAGAAATGCGCACTATTATTGTCATTATTATTACTATCATGGGGCATGATGGTGAATAATGTGTAACAGACATGGAAAGGTACACTGGAGCTGGGTTATGAAGGCCAAATGGTGGATTTGATGTTTTATCCTATAGGCAATAGGGAGAGATTCCTGAATAGGGAAGTGTGGTCAGACCTGAAAAATCTTCCCTTGGACTCTGTGTGTGTGCTTTCAATTTATCAGTAATTTATTTAGTACTTACTGCACACTATAAGAATTGCCCAGGGAGACACCAAGTTTAGCTAAGATAGTTACTGCTTGCCTCATGGGGATTCCAGTCTAGGGATAGTGAAATCCACATAAAGGGAGAGAGAAAGAGACAGACAGATGCAGAGAGACAGAGAAAGACAGAGAGAGATAGAGGAGGCCTTCCTGGAGCAAGGTGTCTCCCAGCTCCCCCGGGCCCTTTAGCCAGGATCTCTGACAACAGGGTGCAGGGAGCATGGAAGCTATGGGATTGCATCACTTGGGATCTGGGATTCTCTCCACATGCCCCGAGCTCTCGAATAGCCCTGACGAGGCAGCCCAACCTCAGCTAAGCTTTTTGGCCAGAGGTTCTGCGTCCAAGGCCAGAGCCCCCCTTACCCAGTGAGACGAGGTTCTCATAGTTCTCCTGCATCACACGCCGGTACAGGTCCTTCTGAGCTGGATGAAGATGGCTCCATTCCTCCTGGGTGAAGTGTATGGCAACATCCCTGAATGACACCGATTCCTGAAACAAACACACGCCTGCCTAGCCAGGGACCGCGCAGTCAAACGTTTCCCGGTGATGCACTCACTACGTGCTTTCTCTTGTACTGGGCTACATGGGAAGCTGATCATTTTAATCCTCTCCGCAAATGAACCCTAAGAAAATCACAAGCTTCACCCAGCACTGATACTGGTGGTCACCCTCCTGAGAGCCAACCATTCTCCAGTAAGGATCCGTGTGTCCTGGCACGGACATCCTCGATCACACTCCTAATCAGTTACATTACGGTCATCGTCCTCCGTTAGGGATCAGCATGCGCCTCACAGATTGAATCGAGGAGCAGTATTCCATCATGCAGGGTGTCCCCCCCGTCTTCTGACCACTGAAGGGACACAGCTCCCTGCCACAGATCACCCCCTCCTTTGCACAGCTAGGTTGTGACCCCGTGAAGTGGCCCCATTCTTAAAATTCACACTGCACACTTCCATTAGGCTAGAAACAATCATTTCTCATAATTACAACCTCAAATAGTATGAATCCAAACCCACTTCATGACATTCATTACTTGCTAAGTTCTGAGGGAGATATTTCCTCCAGTCCTTCAATTAGACTTGTGACCATTCTGATGAAGTATTCTTTCTAATGGTGAAAATGGTAACTCATCTTAGCCTTTGTCATCTTGCCTCCAACTTCCCAGAAAAACAAACCAAACCAACAAACCTTCAGAGGGGGTTCCAGCCAGTAAGTCCTGGGACCATCAGTTCTCCTCTGGGGCTCATCAGACAAGGAAATGAACAGCCAAGGGCTCTGCATCTAATTTTAACCTTCATCCGTCCCAAAAGACCCATCAACCTCTTTCATGATGTTCTTGTACTCACTGGTAACATGGTACAGCTTATTTATACCTATAATATGTCCTTCTATCGTCCTCTCATTGACTAGCAATTTCAGATTTTCAGAGACGGTAGTATTCTTTGATTCAAACACCACCAAAAAAAAAAAAGGATGATGTAAGAAGATGGTCTTTTGCTAGTAAAACTGACAAAAGAGAAAAATGACAATGCTGGAGGGGCTGGGGAAAAACAGGCACTCTTGGTGGAGAAGTGAACTGGAAGAGCTAAAAGAAAGAGGGAAAGGGTCAATATTTTGAAAAGTATTTACAACAGTTCTTTTCACAGTAGTAAAAAATTGGAAACTAAGGGGAAAGCCTCTTATTGGGGAATAGCTAAAATAAATGATGGTGTATGAATGTAGTGGTGTATTATTGTGCCATGAGAAAGGGACAGTTTCAGGGGAAACAGGGAAGACCTATGACCTGATAGAGCATGAAGTGAGCAGAACCAGGACAATTTACAGAATGACCACACAATTACAGAGAAAAACAACTTTGAAAGGTTTTAGAACACTGACCAATAAAACGATAAATCATGAGTCTAGAAGGCTGAAGATGAAACATATTGCTCAGTCCCTGCCAGAAAGATGACGAACTTAAAATACAAAGAGCAACACGTATTTTCAGGAATGGTCAATGTAAAGAGTTGTTTGGCATGAAGGTTTATGCGTGTTTGTAACGAAGGTTTTGTTTTTATTTTCTCCCTTTTTTTTCACTTAATAGTATTTCATTTTTTCCAATTACATGTAAAGACAGTTTTCAACATTCGCTTTTATAAGATTTTGAGTTCTAAATTTGTCCCCCTCCCTCCCCAAGGCAGCACACAATCTAATAGAGGTTACACAACCACATTAAACCCATTTCCACATTAGTCATGTTGTGAATGAAGACGTGGCCGCCCACCGGCCTGGAATACTCTCCCTCCTCTTCTCCACCTCAAGGCTTCCTCTAGGTCTCAGTGACAATCCTTCCTCCTGCAGGAAGCCTTTCCCCGTCCCCCTTAATGCCAGGGTCTTCACCGAATGTGTCTTGTACGTACAGGGTGTTTGCGTGTTATCTCCCCTAGTAGCCTGTGAGCTCCTGGTGGGCAGGGGCCGAACTGTACCCTTCTTTGATCCCCAGGGCTTAGCACAGTGCTGGTATACAGCAAGAGCACAGTAAATGCTCTGTGCCTGACTAGATGTGTGACCCGTGACTGCTGAAGGGAAGGGGGTAAAATGATGAGAAATGCTATGGCATGAAGTGATGCCCAGATAAGAACTTACCTGAGCCCTGGCCGTGACAAGCCCAGCAATCATTTCCTCCTCATCCTCCATTCTCTTGTTTTGGGGAAGGGGAAAGTCTTGAAGAAGCTTATCTGGACAAGAAGAAAGGAGTCCTGGAGGGAGATGACCCCTGACCAGGGCCTCACTGGCATCCTGTTCTCCCTCCCTCCCTGGCACTTCTTTGCTATTTGTCCTGCACCCAGATCCCCCTCCATCCGCGTCCTTGACCTTCCTCTTCAGCTGCCCCTCGCTGCTGAAGGAGGTCATAAACCGATGTCTTAACAACGTACACAGAGAATTCTCTCTCCCTTCGATTGGTCCCCACATAGCAATCACACATTGCTAGTACTTCCCCTTGGCAACTTTCTAAATGCTTACTGACTGACTGCTGGAAGGACCGATGAGCCTGGCGCAGACAATGGTGTGTACTGAGTGACGCGGAGAAGAGCAAGTTGGGGGAGCTGCTTCTCTTCCCTCCCGGGTCATCCCCTCACCAACCCTCCCCTTGGGTGCCTCTCCTCCTGTCTTACACACTAGGAGGTCCCCCCTTCACTGCCGCACTTCAGTAAGGCTCACCTCTCTCCCCAGAGGTGAAGGCCAAGTCTTCCGTGGTCACCTCCTCCTCGCTCGCTGACCGTTATGACTTCATGCCAATGCTCTCTACTCCGCCAGATGGTCAAGACTTGCTGGATCCCCAGAAGCTCCAGGACTGGTTCCTTTCCATCAGGCGCTGCCCTGCAGCTGTGGTGAAAGGACAGTGAAGGTGGGCCCTGTGGGCTCCAGAGCAGTACCAGTGGACCCGGGGCCTGCACAGTGGGGCCTCTACCCCTGGCATTCCAGGCTGGGCCCTATCAGATTCTGCCAGGAGCTAGTCATGCCCAAGAATGAATGGGGGCACCAGGAGGGGCCAAGGACTCAGTTACACATTGTTACTTAGGAAACGCTAAGATAGTCACAAGCCTTGGCCATACAAATGGGCACAGTTATCCAAGAAACCCAGGCCAGAAAGGCCAAGGGGGTGAGGAGTGAGAGTGGTGGCAAGGGCCTGTAACCTAGTGTAGGGCTCAGCACCCACCAAAGCTCAGTCACTCAGTGGTCATAAAGTATTATTTATTACCATAACAACAACTAGCATTTATATAACACATTAAAGCTGGCAAAGCACTACACACAGGTAACCTAATTTGTTCCTCACAGCAGCCCTTCAAAGTAGGTATTGTTATGAGCCCCATTTTACAGAGGAAGAAACTGAGGCAGACATTGGTTGTATAACTATTATCTGAGACAGGATTTGAACTTGGGTCTTCCTGACTCTAGGCCCGGAGCTCCACCTACTGCACCACCCAGCTGACAAATGTACCACTGGATGGTGAACTTAAATTTGAGTAAGATCTTTCATTGAGGGGCTCTAGCTCTCACCTAGGAAGAGCGGCTCTGAAAGTAAAAGGTAAGGCTACACCTTTCTACTCTGCCGCCTGCTTCCTGGGAGGTGGGAGAAAAATAAAAACCCCAACAACTTCAGAGTCCAGCAGTGAGAGCAGAATTGGAGATTCTGCCAATTACAGATACAGGTCTCAGAGCAACCGGACGCAGGAAGAGGAGACTTTGGCTGTTAACCAGGAGCAGGCCAAGCTGACAGTGGAGTTGCCCTTCCGGGGAAGGGTCTTGAAGAGATCAAGGGGCGTACCTTGTCCAGCTAAGACATGAGCTAGCCACGCCCAATATTCGAGTGACCTTGACTAGCGATGGAGGGAGCCATCTACTACAAGTGCAACACAAAGGAGGGGACAGTTAGGGAGGGAGAGAGAGAGAGAGAGAGAGGGAGGGGAGAGAGAGAGAGAGAGAGGCAGAGGGGAAGACAGAAAGGGAGAGGGGGAGAGAGAGAGGGAGAGAGAGAGAGGGAAGGAGAGAGAGGGAGAGGGGGAGAGGGAGGGAGAGAGAGGGAGGGGGGAGAGGGAGGGAGAGAGAGAGGGGGGAGTAGAGAGAGAGAGAGAGAGAGAGAGGGAGGGACAGAGAGAGGGAGAGAGAGAGAGTGAGAGAGAGAGAGAGAGAGAGAGAGGGAGAGAGAGAGAGAGAGCGCCAAGGAAGGAATGTCAGTGAATCCATATACGTGTGAGTTCTCATCATGGTATTTTAATGTTTTGCCCTCTTTTCCCCACTGTCTCTATATGTATTAATGACAGATTGTGCCCTAGGTTTTTAGACTTGTTTACTAACTACTGTTCTGCCTATACCTTTTGAGTAAAATGCCTTTGAGAGTCAAATGAGTCTACTGGCTGAATGCTAATGGCAAGCCTACCAATGGGGGCTTGGGCAGAATCCCAGGCACCAGCTCCCTTGCTGCTGGACCACAACCTTCCAGGGTGAGTTGGGGGTCAGTGCGCCCAGAAGAGGTGCCAGAATGGTGGGCACGCACTCCAGGCGTGCCCACACTTCCAATTACGGACGCACACAACCATAAGCACACAGTCCCTCTCACGAGTACTCAAGCACACATTTGCACTTGATACAAGCAAGCCCCCATCTCGGACATGCGCACTCGCTCCTTCCCTCCTCGGGAATGGGAAGAACCGGGGCGCATGCGCATTCATTTCTACCCTCCCTCATTCCATCGGTTCACTCTTAAGCTAGGAGAAGGGAGGAGGGGGGAAGAATATATGGGAAGCTGAATGCCAAGCATGCATTTCTAGAAGCATGGTGCAAGAAGTGGGGAGGGGGTAGATGAGCAACACCTGTACATTCTCACCCATGGGGAGGGGCGGTGTTATAGGGAGGTAAAGCATGCGCATTCATTGGGGGGGAGGCACATGCGCGTTCATAGACCTCAGCGCTTGGCTATGGGTGAGAGGAAACATGAGACAAGCGCATGCGCACTCACTCATTCCTTCTTTCCCTCCCTCGCCCCAAGGCCTCAACAGGTCGGAGCTGCTACAGGACCCTAGGCCTAGAAGTCTGACCTTTAAGGAGGGACGGCTGCTTGGCATTCCAATGGTAAGAGGAACAATGACCACAATGCATCAGGCTCTGCGAAAAGCCGAATGGGATGGCCTAGAGCGGCCATTCTGGCTCCAACGCGGGATCTCTGGAGGCATTTCGGGAAATGGAGTCTCCGCTCTTGGGCCGCCCACGTGATAGTTGGACTACATTTCCCAGAGGGCATTGAGGCCTTCCGTGTTTTCTCCCCCCCCCCAACCCGGAGCGTGTGCGCCTGCGCCCCGGGCCTGCGGGTGGGTCCCGCCTCCTGTCCTTGGCCTTGGCCCCCTAAGTGTTGAACCCCCGGGGGTCAAAGGGCCCCGCGACTCTCCTCCGGCCGCCCACTCTCTGGTCCTTGTCATCTGGTGCCGTCTTTGTTGAGAGCGGCTGTGGAGGCCGGCCTGGAGCGGGGGCAAGGCGCGCAGGCGCGAGGCGCGTGGGGCGCAGCTGGGCGGGGCCCAGGTGTCCGGTTTTGTCTGTTACTGTCATTCTTATCGTTGTTATTACTGCTGCTGCCCCCCATCCGGGCTCCTACGGCCCGGGTGCCATTGCTGCCCCCCTTTGTGGGTATGGGCACCTCAGCAGCACTGGTTCTCGCCTTCCTGGATTGAACGTGCCTTTTTTCCCTATTTTACATTTTTAGTGGCCCCCCGCCCCCCATCTTCCATTTAGATTGGAGAGCGCCCTCCCGCGGCTCCCCAGGACCAGCGCAGCCTGGGCTTGGTCGTTGCTCGCTGGACGTCCCCATCCTGGTCCGCACGCCCGCTTTCCCCCTCTTTTGAGTTGTGGTCCAGACGCTGCAATGGTCCTCACTTCCCTGCCTTCACCCAAACCCTAGGGACTGTGCCCGTGTCCGGGGCCACGTGTTCATGGATGGCTCTATCTGCCACCACCTCCATCAGACCACATATTGGCATTGGCCTAGGGGCCTTCAGTGCTTTCACCCAAGAACGGAAACTTGGGGCTACCTCCGCTGCTGCGCATCAGGCTGGGAACCGTAATGACTGGACAGGTTGGGTTACTCTCCCTACTTCATGCAGTCTCATTGATGAGCACCAGGCTGAGGGGGAAGAGAGGTGCACGGGGTGCTTCTTTCCCGGGTAGACTTCTTACGGCGACTGTTTCTCTGTGGTGAACTCTGAAATTACCAATCACAGTCGGCTGCCATTTCTCCTTTCTCTGTCCCTTACAACCTGTATGTAACCCCGTTCTTCATCCTCACCAGGATCTTTAATCTCGCCCCTCTTTAGCCCTTTCCCAGGCCACCACCCCTACTCTGGCTTCACTCACCTCCTTTCTCTATCTTGACCCCTTGGTGAACAAGTTAAAATCTTTGCTCGTTTCTCACCTCTCTGCACTACTTCGAAAATTCTCCGACTTCACCAAGCTCCAGGAAGCTAATTGTTAGAAACACCTCATCCTTCTGCAAGATGCCATTAGCCTCAGGACTCCACCCTCTGTCCCTTTGGTGGGAGGGTAGAGCCATGACCTTCAAAATCCCCATTTAAGGAGGGAGCCCAGGCCAGACATCTCTTCTTTTTTCACCTGGCTGTACTACTCTGAGCCTTCTTTGACTGACTTCACCATGCCCTCACCCTTCAGGAACCTTTTCACCCCTTCCTGCTTTTCAGCTTCCTTTTGTGTATTGTCTTCCCCATTGAATTGTAAGCTTCTTGAGAGCAATGTCTTTTTTTTTAATCCCCTGTGCTTAGCACAGTGCCTGGTATATAGTAGGCACTTAGTAAATATTTATTAATTATTGACTGAAACCACAGTGTTCTCTTAATCTGTATCCTATCAGAGATCGTCCTGCCAAGGCTTAGTCTGGAACTATTCTCACCATCCACTGCCTTTTTCTCCCTTCTCATTGAGCAGCACGAATAGGAGCAATCATGAAACTGTGTTGAATAGGTCCACCACAGATTTGTGTTACATCATCTCAACTGGGCTTTCACTGTGGCAAAGCAATCTTTTTATATCTCTTAAACTGACTCACTATGCCACTTCCCCACAGTAGCTTTTCCAAATCTTTTTATTCTTTCTCAAACTGCCCACGCACCACCCCACCTTCTTCCCTCTCTCTCAGCTGAGAACTTGGCCTCATATTTCATTGAAAAAATTTAGGCAATTCAGAGAGCTCTCTCTTCTCTTTTTCATCTCACTTTACCTAAATGCTTTCAGCCATCCTCCTTCACCCCTGTCTTGGAAAGTGTTGGCCTTCTCCATACCAAGGTTAACCCCTCTACATGCACAAGTGATCCCACATCCATCCTGTCACCTCCAGTAGATTATCATTCTATTGTCTCTAATTTCTCACTTATCTTCCATGTATGTCTGCTGGCTGCTTTCCTACTGCCTACAAACATGCCTGTGTTTTTAAAACCTACTACTTTTTAAAACCTACCTACTTTTTTAAAAAAAAGTCACTTGATCTATCCATCCCCACTAGTTATTGTCCCATATCTCTCTTCTTTTTTGTGGCTAAACTCCTTGAAAAGATCATGTTTATTCTGTGCTTCCACTTTCCTTATTTCTCTAAAGTCTGGCTTCTGACTTCATCATTCAACCAAAAAGTTCCAAAGTTACCTGTGATTTTTTTTAAGACAATCCTTAGCCAAATGTGAATAGGAGGTAATTGATGCTTTGTCTTCATGTATTACATGGGTAATTAAGGCCATATAGCACTCATTGTAAAAGATGAGACAGCACTGAGGTACACAAGATCACCTTACTCATCATCTCGATCTTCAAGATGCTGTCCTTGTTCAGGTAGATCTGCCAGGGAACTAACTGGTTCCATGACTTCATTATCACCATCAGCCTCTTTGGGGAAGTCAAACTAGGCCATCTTTTGCCTCAGTTCTTCCTTAGTCTTTAATCACTGAATGGGTGTTGCCTCAGACAAACTGAGACCTGGGAAAGACCTTAGCTTGAAAAGGCCTGGGTCTCCCACTGCATCTGGGGCCATCATCAGTCATCCTGACCTGTGTCTTGCCATTGGACTCTGATGACTTTGGAGGAAAGAGTGAGGGAGATGACTTCGCATGGCCCTGTCTCACTTAAATCCAATTCACTTGCAAGTCAAGATATCACCCTCCTGATGACATTGGTCCTCTTCAAGAATGAAGGACAAACAACAACATTGCCACCAGCCACTTGCTGATTAAGGTGTTCCATTGGGTCTTGATGTCCTTGTCTATTCATTAATAGGCCTGTGTTGGCCAGATGTTTGGATATTGGATCCATCAGAGTCACAAAACTGACATATACCTCAGTAGTAGGATCTGCATTGAGATCGAGTGCATCCTGAGATTGAAAGTATCCTCTAATGGTAGCATCTACAGAATTGTGATTATGGTGGTCTTCCACAAATCCTCAATAGTGAGATAAAGTCTCGTCTGCATTCTCTGTCAGGAGGCATCTGCATGCCAATGATAAACTCTTCAACGAAGTATAATGGACATGTGACAAATTGTCATGATTCCCATAGTATGGATTGTCTCCCATCATGCATAGGGCTGTTGTCACATTCTTCCCATCTTGAGGGTTCATTCTCTGCAACACTGTCATGGGGAAGTTGGATGTACAAATAGGACATCAAGGCTGCTAAGACTGACTCCAGCAGCTTGCCTAAGGATAACCGTTAGTCTTATTGCTGGTGCTGGTGTGCGTTCTAGCCAGTGACGTATCACTGAAGCAGTGTTGTGATCATCAGCCAAATGACTAAAATTGTGCCGTGTGAGCGTTACATCAGTGCACAGTGGCTGCTCGGCATTTGGTGTAAGTTGCACCAAGTCCTACTGAAGACGTGTTGACTTGGCCTGGGATATTTTCTTTCTCAGAGAAAATAAAAGCAAGCACAGAACAGTATATGATGCCCACTCGTGAGCACGGTAATATAGATTATGTACAATCAAGTCCAAAACCTCCAATTTCTGAGCCAGAGTACCCTTGATTCTGATTCTATCAATTGAGGGTTTGAATTTGATCAGCTTGATTTGCAGCCCTTAATGTAGCTAATGTTTCAGTAAACCTTAGCCGATTGCATATTGTATTAGTATAATTTAGGAAGTTTTCCCCAGCAGCAAAAGATAGAGAAATTCCACTTTAAATAACTGTAGACGATATAAAATATTTGGGAGTCTACCTGCCAAGACAAATCCAGGAACTATACAGACACAATTACAAAACACTTTCCACACAAAGTCAGATCTAAACAAATGGAAAAATATCAATGGTTCATGGGCAAGCTGAGCTAATATTAATAAAAATGACAACTCCACCTAAATTTATCTATTCAGTGCCATACCAATCAAGCTATCAAAAAGTTATTTTATAGAGCTTGATAAAATAATAACATTAATCTGGAAAAACAAAAGGTCAAAAATATCAAGGGAATTAATGGAGAAAAAATACAAAGGAAGGTGGCTTAGCTATACCAGACCTAAAGCTGCATTATAAAGCAGCAATCATCAAAACTATTTGATACTGGCTAAAAAATAGAGTGGTGGATGAGTGGAATAGATTAGGTACACAAGACACAGTAGTCAATGATTTTAGTAATCTGCTGTTTGATAAACCCAAAGACTCCAGCTTCTAGGGTAAAAA